AGGTACCTCCACGTGTACAGCTATCCAGAAGCTCCCTGAACTCTGTTCTTTTGGTATTTTATGGAGATTTCATTATGTAGGCATAATTGGTAAGTCACTGGCCATTGGTAATCAACCTTCAGCCCCCTACTCTCCTCTCCTAGGTCAGGGAGTAGGACTGAAAGTTCCAACCCTCTAACCACATGGTTGGTTCCCCTGGCAACAAGCCCCCATCCTGAGATTATCTGGATTATCCAGAGCTCACAGCCACCAGTCCTTCATTAGCATACAAAAAGATACTTACCACTTTGGAGATTCTTTTTTTCCTGAAACAGTCTTGCTCTGTCACCCTGGGTAGACTGCAGTGGCATGATCATAGCTCACTGCAACCTCAAACTCCAGGGTTCAAGTGACCCTCCTGCCTCAGCCTCCCAAGTAGCTGGGACTACAGGGGCCAGCTAATTTTTCTATTTTTTGTGGAGATGGGGGTCTCGCTCTTGCTCAGGTTGGTCTGGAACTCCTGGCCACAAGTGATCCTTCTGCTTTGGCCTCCCAGAGTGCTAGGATTACAGGTGTGAGCCACCTGGCCTGGCCCACTTTGGAGATTCTAAGGGGTTTAGGAGCTGTTTGCCAAGAGCAAAGGGCAGAGATCAAATGTATACAGTATTTCTTGTAATATCACCATATTACACCATTTCTCTATTCACCACCAACACCATCCATTCCCTGCAATAGCTCTGCATCTAACTATTTGGAAAAGCAGGACATAAATCTTTGGGAAAATAAGAATGCCAATTTCTTTATATTTTAGTGAAAATTAGATTATTTGGGCAACTGGGTAGCCTGCCTCAGGCTGATTTAAATAGGCTCTTTTTGATCATTACTTATTGTTTCCATTACAATTGTCCATGACTGTAGTTGTTCCCCAACATCTCATAATTAGGGTCATGGTAATCTCCATAGTCTCATCAGACACAGAACAGAGCATCTAACTCTTGTCGTGTCACTTTCAAGGAGAGTCCTCATTGTAAGACTCTCTCTTCCTACTTCAGCCTGGTCAGTTTGAATCTGTAGGAGCCAAAGGAAAGCTTCCCCTCTGCTCTCGAAAGGTTCACTGAAAATGAACTGACAATAGGCAGATGAAGAGGAGAGCTATTCGACACATGGAGAACCTGGACACTTGGTCCTTCCCGAATCTTTTTTTTTTTTTTTTTTGAGACAGAGTCTCGCTCTGTTGCTTGCCCGGGCTAGAGTGCCTTGGCATCAGCTGAGCTCGCAGCAACCTCAAACTCCTGGGCTCAAGCTATTCTCTTGCCTCAGCCTCTGGAGTAGCTGGGACTACAGGTGCTTGCCTGGAATGACAAAAACTCAAAAAATGTGTGATTATGAGGACACCATAGCTTATGAATGACATGCAGAGACTGAAAACTCAAAATGATGGCAACTGAGAGTAGTGCTAAAGCCCTAAGTTTTGGTAACGCTCTCAAGGGAGGAATTATTTGGCAAAATTATGGGAGGCTATTGTTTTGGACTGATCTCATGCACTAGGCCCCACCAGACCAGACCAAACAAAAATGGAGTCACTCATGCTAAATGTAATATAATCTAACTGAAACTTTAAGGAAGCAGATCCCAAAAGAGACCAGGTTTTTTTTTTCCTCTCCTAAAAACAGGAGATTTCATCATAAGGACATCTCTTCTGCTCTAACTCTTATAAAAAAAAGTAACCTAAAGTCCTTGTTCCCATCTTACAAAACTCACTGTTTTTCTATTTCCCAGTGAGATTTGAGACCAAATAAGTACATTTTGATGGTGACAGAGTGACATCCATACCTAAAATTTTGGTCAATCTCTCCAAATTGAGAGAGGTTAACCAAAAGGGGGGAACTATTAAATTCAGTTTTGCCTAAAGCTGCCTCCTTACATATTATAAGTTTAGCCTAAAAGTTTTACTGTAAACAGTGAACTATAACCTAACTGCATGTATAAACAGAGTGTAACCCACACTTGAACCAATCACTGAGGTTTGGCCAGTCATAGGCAGCCAACTCTTCAAACCATGTCCAAATAAGGCAAGTGCCAAGCTGTAACCAAACCAGCTGTTTCTGTACCTGACTTCCATTTTCTGTAAATCACTTTCCTTTTTCTGTCCATAAATCCTTTCTGACCATGAGGCAGTATTTGTGTCATTCTGAACCTATTCTGGTTCAGGGGATGCCTGGTTCACAAATTGTTCTTTGCTTAATTAAACTGTTTGTCTAAAAATTTTATGTTAACAAGGGATAATAAATGATTTTTAGAAGGAACAAATGGGTCCAGCGCTCAGACAATGGTTAGTGAATGATTCTCTTTCGGAATTGAATGGACCTGGAGAAAAGAGAAAGGTTTGGGACAAAGTTCATCTGGACTCCAGATGTGGTGTTTAGTTTTCAGTCTTTTCCTCTGTGGTATGAATTTTAATCTTCTCTGGTTAATGAAATTTCAAGGAGGGGATCCAAGGCAATTGTGTTACTCATTGGTGGTCTGCTTTCTAGGTAGATAAGGGAACTTCAGAGAAAAGCCTCATCCTCTGCTTTGGGAGAGAGAGAATTGTGTGTGTGTGGGGGGGTGGGTATTGGTCAGAGAGACCTAGGGGCTGCTTCTTTAGCATATTGAAGTGCCATATTTTGGAGTATTGTTTTCTGAGCCCCAACAAATGTCCTCCTGCATATATAGAATTTATCCTATAATCCTAATAGCCAATATAATATAGATTTTCCAGGAGTCTGGTTGTACATTATACTGAGAACTGGATTTCCCAGTGAGCCATTAGGCCCCTTCTCAATATGGTATCCATTAACTCGCCCCTGTTAGCCTTGCTACTTGACCTTTACTGATTACTAGGTGATTTATGGAGAAGGACTAAATAAATCTGCCCTTCAACATCCTGTAGAGAAGAGAAGCCAGAGAATGTGGTCTGGGGAGAGACTAGCTTATTGTTCCCTGCCTGCCCTGTTTTCTTGCCTTTTTTTTTAAAAAAAATATTTTTTTAGAGACAGGGTCTTACTCTGTTGCCCTGGCTGGAGTTCAGTGGCTGGATCACAGTTCACTGCAACCTCCAATTCCTGGGCTCAAGTGATTCTCCTGCCTCAGCCTCCTGAGTGGCTGGGACTAAAGGTGCACACCACCGTGGTGGGCTGAGTTTTAAAAATTTTTTTTTGTAGAGATGGGGCCTAGCTTTGTTGCCCAGTCTGGTCTCAAACTCCTCAAGCAATCCTCTCACCTCAGCCTTCCAAAGTTCTGGGATTACAGGTGTCCCACCCTGTTTTTTTTCCTTAAAAGTCCAGGAAAAAAACAGTCAGGAGATGCTGTGTCCTTATTTCCTCATCATCTCACCCTAAGCTGTTAATTCTAAACCTTCTCCTCAAACAGACCTTCCTCTCAAAATATCACCATTCCACTCTCCATTCAACAGGTGGCCTCTATGTTCTCCTTGAACTTCGGTGAGCGTTTTGACTGCCTAACCAATAGATTATGGCAAGAGTGATAGTATGTAGCTTCCAACATTACGTCAAACCAAGGCCATGCAATTCAGCCTTGCTGTCTTGGGATGCTCATTCTTGAAACTCATCCCAAGTAGCCAATGAAAAGGCCCAGGTGGAAAGAAATTGAGAACCCCCCAACCCACAGCCCTGCTTGAGTTCCCAGTTGGCAGCCAGCACCAACATCCCTGCCATGAAAGTAGATCCTCCAACCTCTCCAACTGCCACAGCCACCGCCACTTGGAACAGGAGTGATCCACTCCCACTGAGTCCTGTCCACTTTGCAGACTCAAGTAGGACACATGGTTATTGTTGTAATCCACTACATTTTGGGGTGGTTTGTTACACAATAGATAACTGAAACACACCTCAACGCATAGTCACATAAAACACGAACAATCTCTTTTGCTCACAAATCTGCAATTTGACAGAGCTTGACTGGGACACCTCTGCTCTGCTCTAGGTTATCTGAAGCCTTCACTGGGAAGATGCAAACAGGTGCGGGTAGAATCATCTAGAGCTTTTCTCACTCACATGTCTGGCACCTGGGCTGAGATGACTCAGAGGCTGACCTCAGCTGGGATTGTAAGCCAAGTGCCAACAGTTAGCTTCTCCGGGTGTTTGGGGCTTCCTCACAGCATCACAGCTTCAAGGTAGACAAGCTTCTCAAATGGTGGCTCAAGCTCCCAAAGTAGCTGTTCCTAGCAAACAAAGTAGAATGTTCATGGCCTTTTATGACCTAGCCTGTGAAGTCACACAGCATGACTTCTGCTCTACTCTACTGATTGAAGCAGTCAGAAGTCCATCCAGACTTGAAGGAAAGGGACATAGGTCTCCTACCTATGGGAGAAATGTCAAAGAATATACAGCTATGTTTTAAAAACTCCATGAACAGTTTTACTGTTTTACCACATACTGTGGTAAGTATGAGATAGGGGTTTCTCTGTATTTATCGTGCCTGGGTTTATAGCACTATTTGAATATGTGGCTTGATGTCTTTGACATCAGTTTTGGAAAATTCTCAGCCATTTTCTCTTCAAATATACTTAATGGTGATTTGTAGCCTGATGACAAAGTGAGAAATGATTCCTCTAAGATTATTACGCTATGATTTTCCAAGGTCTGTTATTAGAGCCAGGAAATGAGAGGGATATTCATTCATGGAACTTTCTTTAGACTTAACTCTTCTAGAGACAGATACCTCCAATTAATCCTCTGAAAGGATTCTTCTCTGACCTTTAGAATGAAAAGGTAAGCGGGCTATCCTCATATCAACACCTCTCTCTGTCCCTTTGGAGAAAGACAACTCTACTCTACTAGGAGTAGCTCAAAAGCAATCATTAGATGACCATTCTCTCACAGTGACAGAGCAAGTCAACAGCTTTAAAGCTCATCTATGGCTTAAAACATTAACTGAAAAAAATTGGAAGAAAACAAATTTTAACAGAGATACTTTTTATATTTTTGTGTTATTATACATACAGCTGAATCTTCTACAAGTATGTGTTACATTAGTAAAATTAATGACAAAACTTATTTAATAAAGTTACCTAAAATACACCATTAATGGCAAAGACATGGATTTAATGTTATCCATGACATATCCGATTCACACAGGGTTACTGAAGACTACAATCTGACCTTGAATCTCTCAGGTTAACAACAGACAAATGCATTACAGTTTGGGAATAGCTCTCTTCTGAGTACCTCCCAGGTGTTTGCAGAAGAAGGACAGAATTTGCTTCCAAGCATCTACCTGGGCCTTGGAATGAGGCCTGGGCTCCCCACCCCAGATCACAGGTTTGTTCAGTAATATGTGAAAGGAAGCTGGGCACATGGGGAAGTAAGGAGGCTCGATGTAATGCCCAGTCCCAGGGTAACAGATGATCTGGGGTTTTTCCTTTCCATGTGCCTGTAACCGTTGAGAGGCTCCTTGAGCATATAACTCACTCCTCCAGTTGTGGTCATCCTGACCAACAATGAAGAGGATGGGACCCTGGGCCTTCTCTATTGGAATCATGCTGGGATTCTCACATCCTCCGACCGTATCATTCCGTATATCCACAATGTCCAGGAGGCCTGAGAAAGCTACCTTGGTTCTCCTCAGGTCATGGCCCAATGGTGGGATGCTAGTCTGTTTATAATGTATGCCTATGTTTCCAGTGAACGCAGATCCATTGATGGAAACTGTGGCTGAGACATTCTTTAAGAATGAGGCCATCGAGAGACAAATATTAGCCCCTAGAGAAATGCCCAAAAGCCCGATGCCTGGGCCCTTTACCTGGAAGAAAAGAAGAAAGAAGAGTCAAGAACTCAACCAACACAAAAATATATTTCTGAAATGCAACCACAGATGCTACTAGCATTAAGCTGGGAATTATCCACAAGAGAATTAACCTCATCTGACAGTGGAGTTTCTTCTCATGTATTAACTATCTGGCTGAACACATGGCAAACAAATCTTAAACTCACTGGCATATTTGATATGTTCCACGGGATCACTACTAGAGAAGGCTCAGCCTCATGGAGCCTGTCCGGTACAGGCCCTCATTCAGGTAGGCCTGATCCAAGTCTTAATGTGGCTGTGTATCCAACTGTGTGGACAAAGTTCTGTTCCAAGATGTGAATCATTCATCAGACCCCATCCACATATACTGGAAAATTCTTTTTTTTTTTTTTTTTT